CCTCAATTTCTTCCCACATCCCTTTCCTTTCCTTTCTGTTGTTTGGACCATACACCCCCGTTAGATGCCAAGAAAAGTCATAAGTCATATCCATGAAGCTACATGTCAAGGAATGTAATTCTGTACATGTCAAGGAATGTAATCATGTACATGTAACTTCTCCCTTCTAAACTCTATTATCCCATATCATTAAAATTCCCCCTCTAGTATCACTAGCCTCTAAACATTCATATTTCACCCATTTATTTGCCCATAATTGCTTCACAAACTCCTCTATATCCCATTCTACCTTGGTTTCTTGCAGGCAATAGATGTCTACTTTCCACATGTGTATTAGACTCTTCAATGTGCTCATTTTCTCCCTATTGTTTATCCCCCCCAATGTTCTATGAGATTATGTTTATCTTCATGTTGCACCACTTGACTGTAACTTCCCCATATTTCTCTTTCAATTGCTTTTGAATTTTACATCAAAACTAACTAAACCTTTGAGTTTTGTTGTATCTTTCCATCTTGGAGTTGAAGGAGTCTCAAGTTCTGGTTCAGCTAGTTCAACTCTGCAATTCTTCCTTCTACTGTCAATTTTTATAAAAAGGGCAAAAGCCTCTTTTTCACAATCCTTAAAATTTACCTCAAATTTGTTGCTTAGGCTAATAATGTTGTTGTGTACCCATAGAGTTGCATCCATCTTTTCATTGTAGGATTGAACATTGATAGGTTCTTGCATGCTAGATGACTGTTGGCCTTTTTAGCGAGAGTAGTTTCTTTCTGTCGTGTTCGATCCCCTCGTAGAAACCCCATTAATTTATTTTGTGCTAGTCTCAAGAAAGTTGTGTGTGTCATCACTGTGTGAGGGGGTATCGATATCTGACATATTGGAGATAGACGATCCTTCTGGTGGAATTTGACTGCAATGAGCTTCTAATTCGAGAAGTATTGGGTCAGGATCACTTAAAAGAGTTGGTGGATCTTGAGTTTTAATTAAAATCAAAGGATCAGTTGGACCGGAGTGATGTAGTGGGTCAGGTTCTATTATATTGGTTGGAGGATCTTGGGCCCTAATTAAAATCTGAGGATCAGTTGGGCTAGAGTGATGTTTGGGCATGTGGCCCAAAACCCTGTATTATCTTGAAGTGTAACCTGTTTTGCTCCTCTCACGTGTCTCCACACGTGATATCGAATTTGAATTAATTGCTTTCTTCGATGTACCCACGTGCTATGACATCCTCAACATAGACAAAGTACCAAAATCTTCCTCATAGACCTAGCTAGCCCTAATTCCTTGGATAGGTCGATGGTCCTATTCTCCTTAGAGAGATCTGGAAAATCACCGTCGGTATGGTCTATGGCTTCCACCTGCACCGGAATTTCACACCAAACAGGAATAGTACAAATAAATCCGTCACTTTCAACTTTCACTTCCTTGGGAACATCTGAACCATCCCCCTCCACTTTAATTCTTGCCTAGCACATATGATTCTTTAAACTGATTTCTTCTCTCGATACATCCCCCACAAAAATTACTGATTTCCTTGAAGACCTTGTAAGACCATAAATTAAGCGGGAGCCCTAGGAGTCGAATCCAGACCCAGTTCCTCTCTGTCTTTTTTGGCCATCAACCAGTTGTGGGAGACCACCAATGGAGTATCAGCTTCACCTTTTTCCATCGTCATTCCCCAGTTAGAACATGTTCAACAACTTTTCTTGTCGGTAGTTCAAACAAGAAAAATGAATCATTCATCTCATAAACATTAACTCCTTGTGCAGCTTTCCAGACAGTGATGATCCATCGTCGGACATCATTCAGAGTTGGTATTTTCTGCAAAGAATCGTGGAATCTACCAATAATGCATCTTCCTAAAAGATCACTGTCTGCTGCATCAGAGCTACCTGACATGATGATTCTGGAGTTCTGAGTCTTGATCAGAGACGTTTTGGTCCCTAATGTTTTCCATTTATTGGCCCTAATTGCTTCAGCAAAAGGAGAGTCAATTGTTGGGCAGAAAACTTTCTCTTACGTCATAATTACAGCATTGATGAATCTATCTATTTTTAATGCAATCTTCCCCATCCTTCTTTGTACGTACCCTCTGGAATGATTGTAACATATTTGTTTTCCCCCTGTAATGCAATAATGCTGATGAATCTTCCATATTTATTTTATTTAAGAGTACCGTAAAACTCAACAAAGAGTTCTACTGTTTTTCACCATTTGACTGACATTCCCTGGACGCTTGATGCCATGTTGAGAACAAAAACAATCCACTTCATGACTTTGTGACTAAAAGTCACTCTCCTTAACAGGTTCCTGCTGTGCTCGACCCGGTCATACAAAATTTCAAATCTTGAATATGATCTGGTGATTTCGAAAGATTTAAAATCAGAGTTAAAATAGATCTTATCGTCCCCCATGTTGATTGTATACTAAGTTTCTGAACAATCACTGATGAATGATTGAGGAGAAACTATGTCCCTTGCCGTAAAGTCACCGGAAAAGTGCTTGTTTAACTTTCCAAAGAGAGAGAAAGCTAAACCTCGGTTATCGTACCAGAGAGCATTGTGTTTTTTATTTATCTAAAAATTTAAAAAAAAAAGGAAAATTGTTGGAGGTGGCTTAATTATAGAAGTCACAAAACAAATGTTAAATGATAAAATTTTGTTCCTATAACATATACATTGCATTTATTAGTTTGGTATGGCAAAATAATGTTCTCTTAAATTAAAAACGATAAAGAGAGAGAGTATAAACTTAGAATACTTGTAGCTTCAGTTTCTTCCTTAACAAAGTTAAACTCTCTCTTACGTATGTGACGAAGACAGTCCACCACAATGCCAACACCTTTCACCGACTCAAACATCTCATTTGCAAAATTTCTACATACCGATAAAGTTTCCTATTAAGTAATATACCAATAATAAAGAGTTGTACCTTTTGGTTTGGATATTCCTTAATTGACTACTAAAAGTCTATTTCTATTGTTTCACGAAACTATCGTGTCTTCTTTGATAACTAACACTTTATTTGGATCATTATTACTCATCGTTTTATAATGTATTATATTGTACTGTATTATATCGTATCGTTTTATGAATACGACATTTGTGTTTAGTTTGATTGTATCGTATTGTACTGTAACTGATAAGTTTACTAAAATACCCTCAATTATTTTAAATATTAAGTTTATCAAGAATTACGCATAAAATTAATTTAAAAAAACCCATTTCTATTAATTTATCACCAAATATGTTTTATAAATAGATTAAGCGATTAAATTCATGCAAATTCTAACAAAATTAGTGGAACAACTTAATAATATTAAAAATAATAATAAGTACACTCCATTCATAAGTAGATAATAATAATAATAATAATAATAATAATAATAATAATAATAATAATAATAATAATAATAATAATAAAGTAAAAAATAAAATATTAAGTACACTCTACTCAGAATTTAGATCATAAGTAATATTTCTCAATATGACATATAATCCATAACTTAAAGTGCATAACATAATAGTTTTCTAACAACGTGACATATAATCCATAACGAACTATTCATATTCCATAAAATCCTTAGCAATTATACCATAAATAATATTACTCTAACTCAATTGCCAGGTAAAAACAAGAGAAAAAACCTGAAAAATAAGGTTAATTATCAATAAAAAAAGAACGATGATAAAGAAACAAGGAGCTGGGGAGATAAATAATAACACTTTATACATTTGAAAACCGCCAATAGTATATATCTAATGAGAGATTAAAGTAATTAAAATTGGAGTTAAAATCAAATTAGGAGAAAAACGAAAAAAAAAAAGGGCGGCAAAACCTATCATTTTTTACCTTTGATGTTGGAGTTAGTAGAAAAAAGACAAAGTGGGTTATAGGTTAGAGATTTGGAGTTAAAATGAAAAAAAGGTAAATAGTAAAATAGAATTGTGGAGTAATAAGTTAGGGCATAATTGGAAAGAAAAATAGAAAATAATCCACCACACCAAATTGGTTGTTTAAAAAAAAGGACTTTTCATTGTTCCGGAATAATGGATTTAAAAATACAATATAACCAATTTTAACTAAACAATCAAACAAACATTGTTTTGAGATAACAATACAATACGATACAATGGGTAACAACCATCCAAACAAGCTGTAATTTAAGGATGTTGTATGAAACATGAGTTTTTGGCCAATATTGTCCCTTATCTTTAATGGTAGGTCTATTTTGATCCCTCAAATATAGCCCTGAGCATATTTAGACCATTAAGTATGCTAAAGTGGAGCACCTTTAGTCTCACTAACACAATATGTTCAAAAACTAACGGTGTTACCCAACTCTGATTCATGAAGCAAATCTTCTGCTCTGAAGCAAAATGTTTCCTCTCATTTGATTGGATAACGCAAATTATCACTTTAATTCCTCATTTTTAGATAATGTCTTCTAAAATTTTGACCTTGAAAATATCCCCTTTTGTACCAATTTTCAATGAGACGAAAAATATATAAAATTACAGCTTAAATTACAGTGGCCAAAAATTACAGCTTAAATTACAGCTGAAAAATGTAATTTACAGGTCAAAATTTTAGAAGATATTATCTAAAAATGAGGAATTAAAGTGATAATTTGCGTTATCTAATAAAAGGAAAGGAAACATTTTGTTTCAGAGCAGAAGATTTATTTCATGAATCAGAGTTGGGTAACAGTGTTAGTTTTTGAATATATAGTGTCAGTAAGACTAAAGATGCTCCACTTTAGCATAGTTAAGGGGCTAAATATGCTCAGAGTTATATTTGAGGGACCAAAATAGACCTAATCTAAAAAGAAATAAGGACAATATTGGTCAAAAACTCTATGAAACAGGTCAATTAGTTTTTTGGTTTTTTACAAACTTATTTTTTTTATGACCCTACCTTTTAGTTTTTTTATTTTTTTATTTTTTAACATGAGCGAGATAGCAACTATGAAACATCATCCGCATAAAATCTGCACTCAACCGCTAGTCCACTCCCAAGTCGTCTTTCTCTTTTTCACACCGTCTCAATTCACACAAATATGTTGAGTCTTAATCACTAAGTAATTCAGAAGAATCTAGTAAAGCCTCTAATATTACTCAAAAAAATCAACTTGTCTTTTCCTAGAGAGTTTCCTCTATTCTATATAAGCAGGTCGTCTTAAGTTTTTGTTGCATAGACTACAAAACTTTGTTAGTATCACGAAAAAGAGAAACAAAGAGACTGATTAGGGAAATGGCTGGGGACGATTCTCATGATCTGATGAAGCTACTTGGTTCTTCAGACCGTGACTTTCTCATTCGCAACAACGGTGACCAGGTATCTATAAATATTGAATATTCATTAACTTTTACTGTGTATGTTATAAAGCCGGATTTTGGGTTTGTTCTCTGTGTGTGTTTTGAGTTTTTCTTCCGATTCTATTGACAAATGCATGTTTCTACTAATGTTTTGGTATAGTGAAGTAAATTGTAGCAGAAATGTGGCATATGATGTTGATAAATGATGAATTGGATTTGAATTGGAGTATCTGATTGTGGTTTGTTGTTTCTTTTGGTTTAACAATCCAGTATCCAAAACCCATTGGCTCGACTAATCCCCTTCCCGATCCGCATAGGGCCCATTAAATGGGGAAGAGCTTGCTAGGCGTATCTAGGTTTTAGGATATGGTTTCATGTGAACCCATACTCCTCTCCCTAAATCATGTACAACAATGTTATATTTCTTCAAAATTACTTAAATATATGTGAGTGCACCCATGCTCAAGGACCCCTATGGTGCAATAATTATTGGGTGCACCTCTACAATTGAAATTAGCGGTTCAAAACACACTCCGGACGGTCTTGTTTTCGACATGGAGTATAGATAAATATGCGAAAATCAATAAAATTTCAAAAAGTATAATTTTGAACCTATAATTTTAAAAGTGTAGTGGGTAGGGTAAGAGACTAAAGTTAAACCCGTCAAATGTGATTCTAGATCCACCTCTTTACAATAGTGCACCCCCCTCTTGAAATCATGGATCGGCCTGGGTCTCTCCATTCCCAAGGACCTCTGGTTAAGCGTAGAGGGATCGCATGTATGCACCACGTTCCTTGGTGGTAGTTTCTTGCTTTCTGTACACAATATGTGAACAAATGGAAATTCTAAGAAATTTTCTTCTGAGATTGTCTAGGTCTTGGACAATTTTTTGATAATGTCCTGGAAAAAGTTTTCAAAATTTGATAGATTACTTTCGAATGGAAATTCTTAAAACTCAGCAGTGTTTGGATTGATTTGTTATTCAAAAAGAGAGATTTATGATTTATAACCCTTTACTTTGCATAGCTATCCACATTATTTACTCCACCTACGCTTTAGGAATGTTAAAAAGAATATCCATAAGTCAACCTGAATTGTTTGAGAAGTTTGTAACATGAAAAAGTAAATAATTTTAAACAAAAATTTAAGTAGTTTACAGGTTTAAAAAATAAGATGAAAGTACTTATAAAGACAAATTATGAACATAATAATAGGATGGATTAAACATGTAATAATTAAAAGAAAATATAACATACATAAAAGGATCAAAGTAAATATTCAAGAGTTAGCGAGATGTTGTGGAAGTAAGTTTGGGTTGATCTTGGTTACTTCTATTTTTAATGGTTTGAGATGGAATGAAAAAACATCATTTTTTGATTTTTCTTTTCATTCTGTTTTGTTTTTTCTGAAAACAATTCGTTCTGTTAACTAAATAATTATGTTGTTCGTTTCAAGGAAACTGTTGCAAAAAAGTTGTTTGGGTCGGGCGGTCGGGTTTCACGGGAATAGCTTTTCCTAACATTTCAAATTTGATAATGTGTTTGTAAGTATAAGGTGTATCCAAGAATAAGAAAGTGAGGTGTGACAGGAGTCATCTTTTTAGAGTATCTTTTGTGGTGGATTTTAGAACCACTATCTGATTTTTCCATTTCTGGTTTCTGTAGAAGACTAGAAGTGCAACATTTTCAATGTAGTTCTATGCATCTTTTTTTCACTTTCCTGACTTTTTAGTTTTATTGGTATAGACATGCGTGTTAGAAAAGGTGAGGTGAATTTTGGAAATTAGTAGCTAGCTTTGATTAAAAGATTAACTAATTTACGGCAAGTTACTCTTATATGAATCTCAGGTTAAGCTTGATGCTTTAAAGGAGAAAAAAGTTGGTTTGTATTTTTCAGCATCATGGTGTGGTCCATGCCAACATTTCACCCCGAATTTGGTAGAGGCGTACAATGAGCTCCTACCAAAAGGAGACTTTGAAGTTGTTTTCCTTACTGCTGACGAGGATGATGAATCATTTAAGGAGTACTTCTCTAAAATGCCGTGGCTCGCTGTCCCATTCTCTGATTCTGAAACACGTAAACGTCTGAATGAATTGTTTGCTGTTAAGGGAATACCCCACTTAGTGATCCTTGATGACAGTGGAAAGGTAGTGACAGATAACGGGGTTGAGATCATCCTTGAGCATGGGGTGGAAGGTTACCCTTTTACTCAAGAACGGCTAAATGAACTTAAAGAGCAAGAAGAAGCAGCTAAAAGAGAACAATCTTTGAAATCTATCTTGGAGTCACAATCAAGAAACTATGTAGTTGCAGTTGATGGGAGGAAGGTTGATTCAAGATGCTGTTCTTTTTCCTGCATGTTTTATTCTTGTTCTTTAATTAAAGTTTCCCTAACTACTATGTTTTGATTACTATTAGGTACCTGTTGCTGAGCTTGAAGGCAAGATTGTAGGCCTGTATTTCTCAATGACCTCTTTCGAAGAATGTGAATCATTTACTCGGATGCTGATCGATATGTATGACAAGTTGAAGGCGCAGGGGGAAAACTTTGAGGTTGTGATGATTCCCCTTGATGGTGAAGATGATGATGAATCTTTTAAGAAAGAGTTTGCAAGCATGCCTTGGTATTCACTTCCCTTAAAAGACAGGACTTGTGAGAAGCTCGCCCGGTACTTTGAGCTCTCTACCCTTCCTACCTTAGTCATCATTGGAACAGATGGGAAGACTCTTCATTCTAATGTTGCTGAAGCCATCGAGGAGCATGGCATCCTGGCATATCCTTTTACCCCCGAGAAGTTTGCTGAACTTGAGCAGATAGAGAAAGCTAAGCGAGAAGCACAAACACTGGAGTCAATTTTGGTCACTGGAGATCATGATTTCGTCATTGGAAAAGATGGTGAAAAGGTAGGACGAAAATATCACATCTTGGTATTATTGTTATGTCATAGAACATGGATCCTTTATTTGCCTTAATGTATCAAAAAAATTTCCAATAAATTTGTTCAGACTCCTAAACTTTTCCAATAAATTTAACGAAGGACTATGACATATCTATTGCATATACTTATATACATTTGTAAGCCGAGTCCATGTGACCTAAGTTATTTTTACATGAGATGTTGGAGCTTTGGAGTTCTACAATCATCTGCTGATAAATAAACTAAGGCTTCGTTTAACTACTATAATTAACGTGACACCTTTTTCAGTTAGATGTCTTACTCTTGTCCTTAATTAGAGCAAGTGACCAAAATTTTCTCTTTGTAGATTCTGGTGTCTGATCTTGTAGGGAAGAATATTCTCCTTTACTTCTCAGCACACTGGTGTCCGCCATGCCGTGCTTTTACACCAAAGCTTAAAGAAGCATATGAGAAGATTAAAACCAAAAATGGTCCATTGGAAGTGATTTTCATATCTAGTGATCAAGATCAAGCCTCGTTTGATGACTATTTTGCTACAATGCCATGGCTCGCTCTTCCCTTTGGCGATGAAAGGAAGGCATCCTTGAGTCGCCTTTTCAAAGTTCAAGGCATACCAACATTGGTTGCTATAGGGCCATCGGGCAAGACTATTACAACTGGGGCCAGAAACATGATCATGCGTCATGGTGCTGAGGCTTTTCCATTCACCGAGGAGCGTATGAAGGAAATCGAGGCAGACATTGCAGAGAAAAAAGAAAACAACTTGGATCCGGAGGTAGATCAGAAGGAGCAAGGCAAAGATGAAAAGAAACCAAACGAAGGATGGGTTTGTGATGGTGAAGTTTGTTCCAAAAGTTAATTTGGTTATTATGGGTTCTTAGGTTTTAATCTTGTTTTATGACTATGTAGTACTACGTGTCTTATTCAGACAGAACTATGTTTCATTATAAGGCACATTTAATAAAGATCATTCTGTGGTACTACAGTCCATATGCTCACTCCCTTCTGTAGATGTCAGATCAAAGATGGCACTTAATCTTGACTGGAAAAGCTAAGTTTATCTTGGTTTCAATTAATGTAAAACTTCATGTCAATCTGGTCAGGAAATTTTACTTTCTCCATGGTAAAATTCCTTTGAAAGGAAAATAAGGGGATAGCAGACAAACTGAACTTCTTTCATTTCTTTGCTTTGTTTACCTACTCCATCAGTCTTTAGACATGAATTTTCTTTCAAAATCATTTGCTAAGAAGCATATTCGTGGGGTTTGAAAGCGTTCTTTCTGAGACACTTCTACCATGAAATTATTTGTTTTGTCTCTTTTTTGCAATACTACTACAACAACAACAACCACCCAGTACAATCCCACAAGTGGGTCTTTTGTGCAATACAAGTTTCATTAAGCATTTGACCTGTATTTGATCCAGATACTGTCTATCTCAATGTTAACTTTTTCCTGTGTTGGTTTCAGTCATGCTTTTTGTGCAAAGGATATAATATTGGTTTGCAGAGTTGGATTTCGAACTTTTTGTTTCCCAATCTCAAGTTATCTGCTCCGCTGGGGTGTGTTGGTTTCGCTATGATAAGCTTTTCGAACGTTCAAAATCTTTGCTAAAATTGCATTGGTTTTGGAGATGTTCGTTATCTTATCAAAGAGAAGAAAATGCTGGAACTGTTCAGAGAAGTGTGTGTCTGCATATTCATCACAATTTGTTAGGTTCTCCAACATCTTCCAATTTTATGATGATTTTCCATGGGTCAAATTTGGTGACTAGAGTAGAAGTAATTTTGTTTCTTGGCACATTAGAACTTGTGCTTTGTATGTGATTTACTGCTGATGAAATTGTAAAAACTTTAACTGTCTATGTAAGTAATAATGTTCTTTTTGTGATCTTACACCCTTATGGCAAGCCAAATGTTATGGATGCGGTTTGCTGCACTCTACGATGTTGCGCTTGAAGTTCTCTTCCAGCTCCTTTTTTCGTGGACCTTTCAGGACTGACAGATCCAGAAACAACATCTTTAGGCTCTGGAAATGTTTTGTTTTGCAACCCTTGTCAAATAGCATTGAAGTTTTATGATTGTCAAATAGCGTCAAACCTTTGATAACTTTCTGTTCCAGAAGCTGTGCTGATGCTTTTCTTAGATATTGAGTTCTCTTCAACAATCTTTGAAATCTTCTTGGAGTCACAATCAACAAACTTTCTAATTGCAGCTGATTAGAGGGAGATTGATTCAAGATGCCATTTCTTATCAATGATATTTCACTATGTCCTGTTAACAAGATTGTAGGCCTGTATTTCTCAATGACCTTATTCGAAGAATGTGAGTCGTTTACTCAGAAGCTGATTGAGATGTATGACAAGCTGAAGTCACAGGGAGAAAACTTTGAGATCGGGATGATTCCCCTTGATGATGAACCTTTAAAGAAGGGGTTTGCAAGCATGCGTTTGGTTTTCACTTCCCTTGATAGACAAGACCTGTGACAAACTGGCCCATTATTTTGAGCTCTCTACCGTTCCTACCTTAGTCATCATTGGAACAGACGGGAAGGCACTTCATTTTAATGTTGCTGAAACTATTGAGGAGCATTGCATCCTGTCATATTCTTTTACACTTGAGAAGTTTTTTAAACTTGAGCAGATAGAGAAAGCTAAGCGAGAAGCAGAGACACTGGAATCGATTTTGATCACTGGAGATATGTGATTCCGTCATTGGAAAAGATAGTTAAAAGGTAAGATGCAAACATCACATCTTGGTGTTATTCTTATGTTCTATGATACATGGTGTAGGTACTTTGTTCAGATTTTTCAGAATCCAACAAAATATGTACATATCTATTCTTCTATACTCATACTTACATGTCTGTTAAGCCGAGTCCATTTAAGATGAGTTATTCTTACATAAGATCTTGGAGCTTTGGAGTTTCACAATTCATCTATCATTAATCAGTTTAGGCATGAGATATACTTTCTGTACATGTCATTCAAAATGCTTTGACTACTATATTATGATTAACATGACACCCTTTTTGTTGATATCTTGTGCTTATCCTTAACTACAACAACATCAATAACAACCCAGTATAATCCCACTAGTGGGGTCTGGGGAGGATAGTGTGTACGCAGACCTTACCCCTACCATGAGGTAGAGAGGCTGTTTCCAATAGACCCTCAGCATCCTTCCTTAACTACAACAACATCAATAACAACCCAGTATAATCCCACTAGTGGGGTCTGGGGAGGATAGTGTGTACGCAGACCTTACCCCTACCATGAGGTAGAGAGGCTGTTTCCAATAGACCCTCAGCATCCTTCCTTAACTACAACAAGTGATCAAAATTTTCTATTTGTAGATTTTGGTGCCTGATCTTGTAGGGAAGCATATTCTCCTTCACCTTTCTGCACACTGGTGTCCGCCATGCCGTGCTTTTACACCAAAGCTTACAGAAGCATACGACAACATTAGAACCACAAATGGTCTATTGGAATTGTGTGTACCCGAAAAACGGATGTAGTTGAATTTGTACGTAGTTCTAAGGATATGTGGTGCAACTTAACACAAATTGCAAGGATAAATAGATATATAAGTATGGATTGCAAAAAATACAAAATAGATAAGGTTGTAAGGAAGATGAATTTTAGGACTAAACAAGTGGAATCAATTTAAGAGGCTTGAAAAAACAACTCTTTACTATGGGAGAATATATTGTTTTGATTACAATGTAAGCATGAAAAAAACTTGCCTTTACAGAAATGATAACCATGCCATTTATAGTAAAGGGATCTTGCTCTAAACATAATTAAAAATGCTCAGTGGGAGACCCACGATAAATCAGTTTTTCCATAATTCTTGCCAAGATTCTCTCTAGTGGGATTGCAACGGCTTTTGTCCGCGAGCTCGATCTTGACTCGAGCTCTCGATCTTGGTTTGAGCTCGATTCTGACTCGAGCTCTCGATCTTGGTTTGAGCTCGATTCTGACTCGAGCTCTCGATCTTGGCTCGAGATCAATGTTGGTCGGTCTCTGGATCATAAGCTTGAAAGCTTTACTCTGCTTCATAGTTCGATTTGGATCTGAGCTTGACAATGATATCGAACTCGACATTAATCAGCCCTTCAGATTCGAAGCTTGTTTGTACCATCTTCGGAACCCATGTCGGGGTCTCACTTTGATCGATTATCTTTCGAACTCGATCAGACGTACGAAGGTCGAAATCTATTTCGACCGTATACGGATAGTCCCCTCGTTTCTCAGGAAGAATGTGGTGAGAAACGATGTGATTTTCCAACGGCTCGATCGGATTATAAGCTGACGTCTTCATCGGGCTCGATCATGACGCACGTGATATCTTTCCCGCCGATTTAGTCTTTCAAGGCATTTAATGCATGTCAGATGGTGGTCGGCCACCGCTGATACTGAACCGCCATCGCCTAAACCTATAAATAACCCTTTCTTTTTTCATTTACTACTTTTACCTCTTCAATCCTCCAAATTTCTCAAGTCCCTTTTCGTATTCTCTGGCTTACCCGCGAATATGTGATTTCTCTTTGCAAAAAGCCCCCCTTCAATTTTACCAAATCTTTGTCACTTTCTTCTACTCCTCACCTTTGAATTCAAAAATGGCGAAAATGTCACAAACCATTCCTCATAAAGAGAAGGCTTCATCTTCACAGTGTGCCGCTGATGAGACACCGACAGAACCACGGCCTGAGGAGTGCGTTCCCGGGGCGTGTGTTCTTACTTTTGATTTTAAGGTCGATAAAGGCTCATCGGTCCCTGGCCGATGTGAGCCAGTATCGAGGTACATGTGTTCGATAACTGAGAAGCACCTCAAACAACTAAAGAAAGATTGCAATTGGGATAGAAAAGAAATAGTAATTCCTACTTCTGACGAAGATATCACCACTTACGTGAAAGGGTTTTTGAATGTGTATACTTACCCTTTCACGTTAGGTCCCCTCAATTCCTTATTATTGATTTCTGTCGTCAATACCAAATAACTCTAGGCCAGGTCCATCCTTCTTTTTGGCGGATCGTTATCTTGATCCGATACTTTGTGAACAAAATCGAGGGGATGCCGTTCACCCTCGACCATCTTATCCGATTGTACCGTCCTCGACTTTTTCAAGGAGGGTTAATAAAACTTCAGCATCGGGCTACCAAGGCTCTGTTCTCGAGCATTGACAAGGACAAGGATCAGGGCTGGATGGGCAGGTTCGTTCGAGTGAGGACTTCGGACCTGATTCCGACCGAAAGATGCCCTTTCCTGAGGAGTAGAATATGAAATGTAAGTGTGATCCTGCTGTTACTTCCTTCTATTTTGTTCTTTTATTTCTTTTCTCATCGGTACTCTTCTTTTTGTGATGCAGCAGTTCCCTAGATGCCCGGAGCAGTTCCCGATCTCAAGAACTAGGTACGAGTTCGTGTTTCGACCTCCACATACGCCGAGCGCTCATGGCGTGATTTGTCAAAGGGTCGGTGGGAGGCCAAAAATCACGGTAAGCCCCTTTCTCGTACTCTTTGATAATTCGAACGAGATACCTTCCAAATATTTTAATAAAATTTTCCATATACAGGTTTGGGCAAAGATGCGGGTTTGAGGCCCTTGTCCATCGAGGAAGAAACTTTGGCCTCTGTCCCAAAGCCGGTGAAGGAAAATAAAAGGAAAGAGCCTTCGTTCCCGAAGATCCAAAACTGAAGAAGAGGACGGCTCGTAATCCAAACAAGAATATCATTCCTTTGACCGTAGAATCAGTTCTACGTCTAAGGGATGAAGATGAAGAAGAAGAAGAAAATGATGGGTCTGCGTTGGCGGCCCAAACGAAGAGAACAACCGATGTCCAATCGACAGCTGGATCGATGATGCTTCATGAGGCTCCGCCTCGAGCTGAGGGTATACCGGAGAAAGATTCGGGCGGAGTCCCTGAGTTGTCGGAGATCGAAGACGTATCCCATCGGAGCCAACAGATGGGGGATATGTCTGAAGGGCCCCCTCTTGAATCCCTTCGAACCGAAGAGAATGCTCCAAGTGATTCATTTGGGGCAGCAACAATCGAAGATTCGCCCACCTTTCCCGNATATTCGCCCACCTTTCCCGCTTTTTCCGTAGGGGTGATTCGGGAAGCCCAAGCTTTGGGGGCCCTCGATCTAGACAGGCCTCATGAT